TCATTTAAACACAAACACTGTTTCCAAGCTATTCCCCACACACAGTCGTTCTCAACATTCACTTCCTTCCTCGGTCCGCAAGGAGGCAGTGTTGCTTCTCTCAATGGAAAGGGAATCTCCCGTTTTTCGTTCTAAAATTGAAAATGGGACAGCAGGAAACAAGCCATTATCTGATCTTTTATTACGTGATGATTTTCCCTCAGTCAGGAAACAATATTCGGCTGTAGTTTGTTTCCCTCGAGCTTGTTTCGCCTTGACACGGAGGACCTTCACATTCTGCTGCAACCTATTTCTTTTCCGGGGCCGCAGCAGCGGACCAACGGGAGGAAATAGTACGCCTTCGTGTCAAAGGGAAACAAGCTCGAGGCAAACAAATTACTTATTATAATTAATTATTGTGTTAAATCAACAGGTTATTAAAGGCTCGTTTTCCATTCTTCAATTTCCAAGTTTGAAACGAAAAACGGGGTGTCGGTCGTTCCCTTTAATTTGAGACAGCAACACTGCCTCTTAGTGGACGAAAAAGGGATCTCAAAGTCATTATAAATAAACACGCCACACGTGTGAAAATGACGAGTATGTTTGTGGATATTATCAAAACATTTTTTGAAATTTAGTATTTAGTTTGTGAAAATCACAAATATATTTCGAAAAACAAGTGAAAAAGTAAGTCACAGATGCATTTGTGTGAATAGTTTCGAGACAAATCTGCCCCCAGATGTGAAGCCATCACACTTCCACTGGTTACGGCAGCTTTGGTGTGGAAAACATACAAAAGAAACATTCAAGTCAAACGCTGTTCTCGATTGTCTTTTGATTGACAGCTGAGGTCTATTTTCCGGCGGCGTGCTCACTAACTGCCCCCTTTGCTAACGTTGTTTTTTACGATAACTTCCAGTGACTTCGTGAGTAACAACAGACAAATTAGAGGAGCAACGTATCGTAATTATGCTCCTCAATTGTCTACATAAATACACTAACAGATAAACGGCGAATAGTTAGTTTAAAATGTTAAAATTACTTACTGAGAACACGGCTTGTGGACAGCGGAAATACTTGCTCATTGGACCGGATGTGCTACCGTTCTTGTGCTTGTTGTTGTTCTTCTTCCCGGTGGATTAGAGCTCCTAAATCTATATCGCCCCCTATTGTCCAGGAAACACAAAGGCGTTTGGCAAACGATCGGAAACAGAATCAAATTTAGAGTATTGGCCAAGTATGCAAAAAAACACAAAAGGAATTGACTTTCGCTGTTCCAAGTCGTCCAATACAATTCATCTTGATTCCTACAGCGCTTCCACAACGCCTGCAATAAAGCGCTTTTCAGAATTTTGGCAAATTATCCTGTCGGTTTGGACATCAACCCCCCCCCCCCCCCCCCAATTACACGCAACCCTTCCACTGACGCATTTTCATCGTTCGGTCAACCTTGTTTCAGAGGTGGTGATTGGTGGTTGGTGGGGGGGGGGGCGTATTGATTGGCATATATTTTCGAAGACAATGAATTCTTTGAGGGGGAAAAGTTATTGGGGTCCTGCAGAAAGTCGTCCCATGTTTCCTGCCCAATCTTAAATGAAGTTTGATTTCACCGTTATTCTTTGGGAGTTGCAGGTTCTTCAGCCTCCGGACCCCCGTTTAGACTAGCAGAGACCAAAACCACCCAGACGAGACTTGCATCTCAACTATTCCAACGGAGTTGCCCTTTGCAACAAACCATCTTGAAACAATGAACAAAATTGGCTTCCATGTTTGGAAGTGCGTGTTTATGGATGTTTTATTTGTGACTGAAGCAGACAAGAAACTTGTTTGTTTTCTTCAAGTACTTTATTTACGATCATCAATAAAGCAAAGTAACAAACGACACAATCTCTTTGTGATGCTTGTCTTCAATTTCAAACCAAGTCGGCTTTGCAAACTCTCTCTCCTGATCTCAGAATGGCATTATGAAGGGAGCGGTCGTAAATACTGGAGGGGCTGAGGGGTCATGGGTGACGTTTGAGTGCCGTCATGTCGTCCAGAGGCGGGCAAAGTTAGTACCAGAAGCGACCACTCCTAACACTAACTTGCGTGGCAGGTTAATGGAACACTCGCTGGGGTAGGCTCAAAAAATGTAACATTTTTTAATTGCACATCAATATCCATTTTGGGACACCAACCCACCTTGGTGTAAATCAGAATCACGCGCTTCGGAATTCAAATGTGCAATGTTTGAAGATTTGCAAGAGAGCAAGTAACAGCACACCTGCACCGGGAGGTCCATTTCCGCTTCTAGAAGTCGTGGTCCCAGCCCGAGTCGTCGTGCGGAGGCGCTTCCTCGCTGTCCAACGGAAAACGGTCAAAGTTGCTGGTGTCGGTCGGAGACGAGACCTGAACGCAAACACGCGGGTCAACAAGTCCAGTCACCTTCCCCACAGCGCAATCGTCTCATCGTCTCAAGAACCAACACAGCCCTGCTCCCAACCTACAAAGTCATGTGATTGAACCTCACCTCCGGCACGATGGGCGGGGTCAGCGTTCCTTTCTCCAGGCCTTCCCAATCGAAGCTCTCAAACCACCTGCGCTCACACATGCGCATGCACATCCATTGCGGGTGAGCACGCGCGTGTTTGAGAAGAGGAACATTGTCCTCACCGGTGTTTTTGGATGTCCTCGCCATTCTTCAGTGCGCCCAGTCTCTCCGTCGGCTCGTCCCTGTGGGCGGAGACTATCGTTTTGGCTTCGGGCGTGACGTGACGTGACGTGAGGACGTCGCGCGTCCTCGCCCACCTGCACAACTTCCTGATGAGATCGGCGGCGGTCAGGCTCACTTTCCCGGGGAACTCCAGCGTGTCCACCCCCCGGAGCACCGCCGTGTACGTCTGCACCGCGTCCGCTCCGCAGAACGGAGGACTGGATGCCCCGAGGACGGCGGACGCAATGTAAGGAAAAGGTGAAAGAGGTGCAGGAGATGAAAGAAGAACAAGAAAAAGTTCTTACCTGCCGGTCAGAAGTTCAAACGTGAAGACGCCAAGGGCCCAAAGGTCAGCGGAGGGGCAGTGACCTTTGTTGAGGATGACCTCGGGGGCCATGTACTCGGGAGTGCCGCAGAAGGTCCACGTCTTGTCCATCTCGTCCGCCTTTGCCTTCCTCCTCTTTCCGACGCCGATCTTCTTAGCGAAACCAAAGTCCACCTGCATGGGCGCCATTGTCGGTCAGACACGTAACCCGACCTGATGATGATGTCACACGCATGCGCGAATCACCAGCTTGGCGTAACCGCGAGCGTCCAGGAGGACGTTTTCGGGCTTGACGTCCCTGTAGATGATCCCCCGGGCGTGAAGGTAGGACAAGGCCTGCAGCACGCATGCCACGTAGAAGCGACCACTGGCGTCCTCGAAACAACCCCTGACGTAACAACAACAACAACATTCCAAGGGAGGAAGGGGAAGAGACAGAGGAGCGGCCCGTAGACATAACAGACAGATTTCAAATAGATGATAGGCGCGCCTGACGGCGGTCCTCACCTGTTCCTGAGGAGCGTCCACAGCTCGCCGCCAAGACACGCCTCCATCAGCATGTACACATATTTGCTGTCCTTAAAGGTACGGTACAACCTGCACACACGGGCAAGGCTTGCTTCAATTTGGCAAGGAGGGCCCCTTTTATTTTGTAGGAGCTCCTGCTGCGTTACCTGACCACAAAGCGGCAGCGCGTCTGGCTCATGATGACCTTCTCCGAGCGCACCTGGTCCTTCTGCCCGGCAGAAGTCAGAAGACGTTTCTTCACGACTTTCATGGCGAACGCCCTCGTCCGCTCGCTCTTCAGCTGCACCTGTAGGCCACGCCCATAAAAAAACAGACACAAATTCACAGAGCTTAGCCTCGGCGTCGTCCAATTGGTCGTACCAGCTGAACGCGTCCAAATCCTCCGACTCCGAGCGTCTGGACGACATGAAAGTCGCTGAGCTGCAGGCGGGACGAGGGCACACTTTGGTCCTCCTCGGAACTGACAAAGACAAAGAGTCAAAGAGGTTTTGGCGGGCCACAGGATGTCACGGGGTGCATTCCCGCGGTACCTGGAGCATTTGACCACGCGGAAAAACGGGAAGGTCCCGGAAGTCCTCACAGAGAAGGAGACGGCGGGCCGTCTACCCCGCAACTCAAACAAATCACGCATCATTTCGTCCGGTCCAACTTCCTGTTAAATGACCCAAACTTCCTGTCTCATGCCCTAAACGCTCTGCCCACAGAGGGAATCCTCTTGTCGAAGCACTCAACTTCCTTTCACTCGGTCCGCTTCACCCCAAGGACACCGGAGATGTCCCGTCAGCCGCAGTGTCGCCCCGCACGACCGACTCGGGAATAAATTTAGCTCGCAAACATTCCCAAGAGGTTCCTGAGCTAAAAGAAGACCACACAGGGCGGGCACATACACCCCCCACCCCCTCGCTCCCCTCACTGCGTGTGAGCTCTGTTGTTGTTTTTAATTGAGCATTTGTGAGTCACGATTGAGTTATGAGTTATCTCGTGTATAAAACTGGCTGTGGCTCAAAGCGAGTTGGGCAAGAAACACGATTGAAGAGAACATTCAAAATACGATAAAGAATATTATTTGGACGTTTGCATTGAAGTGTGACCACAACATTAGGTACACGCGGGCCTGGGCAATTGTTTTCGGCTTGGGCGGCATGTTTCTCCAGTAACTCTGTCGGATGAACAATTCGCAAATCTGTTATTAGGCCGGTGGAATGATCTCAATTTTTGACAGTCCTGTCGTCGACGGCGCATTTGATATCCATACTTTGCCTGGAGGATCGACACTCCGGATCGAAATATCGATATTTTGGTATCGATCCAGCCATCCTCAGCATGGAGCGAATTTCAGCCTCTCGGAAAGTTCATGTGTGTATGTGTGTGTGTGCGTGCGCGTTTGTGTGTGCGTGTGAGCACACAGATAGCAGCAGGTTAAACATTAATGAACCCTTGTAAAGCTAACACCAAGAAAGTGAACCTTTGGAGTTTGATATGATGCGATCACACACAGACACACACACAGAATGACACGCTCACGCACACAGACACACAGACACAGACACACACACACACACACACACACACACACACACACACACACACACACACACACACACACACACACACACACACACACAGACACACACACAGTGGTCAGAATGACACAGGTCTGAACGGAGGGAGGTGATCTCTGAAATTGCTCAGGTAGGTTTTTGTGTGTGTGGGGTTTTTTTTCTCTCCGCAAATAGAAAATAAGCGATCGTCGCAAACGCCAACTTTGAAAATGTCTACATTTGTTTACGCTGAAATTGATGGAATGGATTGAAACGCATCATTTAGTCGGGTGAAGGCAAACAGAGGCGGCGGAACAAGTGTGTGCAGCGGCAAAGTGCTACTATGCTAAGTCTGCTTTTTCATGTGGCCAAATCAAACGTCATCTGGGCTCCGATCGTCATCACAATGATTCAAAAGACAAAATAATAATAATAATAATAATTTTACTTACACTATTTACAGCTAAGCAAATTGTTTAAAAACATAAGAAAAAAAGATCCACCAAGCCCTCTGGTCCCTTGAAATGCGCAACAGAAAACAAAATTGCTATTTTGATTATCATTCCTGAAATTGATGAGAAATAATCAAAACTTTGTAATCATAGCTGACTTTGTCGTAATTTCAAACAAACCCCAAAACAAGCGAGAAAGAACAAGTGACGTGACGCCTCCGCGAGAAAATGCAACTGATTGGTCATCACAAGGTGACGTGACCTATTCCCTCTCATGACCCTTGACACAACACACGTGCCTCGTGTATACACACACACACACACACACACACACACACACACACACACACACACACACACACACACACACACACACACACACACACACATAGATGTAAACATACAATAACAATACATGCACAAACAAAACAAAGTGCGGCGCGCGCGCGCACACACACACACACACACACACACACACACACACACACACAAGCTAGCTAACCTCATTTTCCCCCTCTTACTCCTGGTCTTCGTCCTGCAGTGAGCTTTGCTAATTTCCTTGATTTGTCAAGCTGTCAATCAAACCCAATGGAAACCAATCAGAAGGCAGGAGGCGAGGGACTAGTGGGAGCGCAGAAGGAGGCGGGGCTAAGGGCGCTGGTGCAGAGGACGGGGTACCGGCTCCAGCAGGTAAAGTGGGTGTGTCCATGGCCAGCGGGGGGCTCGAACCCACGAACATGCTAACGCGCTCCAACGTGTGGCAGGAGAATGGCCAGCGGCGATATGGCGGCCCCCCGCCCGGCTGGGACGGGCCTCCGCCAGAAAGAGGAAGCGAAATCTTTGTGGGGAAACTCCCGCGAGATCTCTTTGAGGATGAGCTCGTGCCACTCTGCGAGAAGGTGACAACGGCGCCATCTTACGTGGGGCACAGCATAGGAAGGCGCGAGTGTGCCCGTACGTCGCGCCAACGCGCTCTCTGTCCAGCTAACGATGGTTTTGATGTTTTCACGTGAGTTCGGTCGGATCTTCGAAGTGAGGATGATGATGGACTTCAACGGCAACAACCGCGGCTACGCTTTCGTCACCTTCGCCAACAAACAGGAAGCCCGAGCGGCCACCAAGCAGCTCAACAACTACGAGATCAGGTGAGCCGGCACCCCCGATGCCGGAGGCGTCCGTCGGTCGCGCATCTCACCCGGCTCGCTGGCGTGCCAGGAGCGGTCGCCTGCTGGGCGTGTGTCCCAGTGTGGACAACTGCCGACTGTTCGTGGGCGGCATCCCCAAGAGCAAAATGCGGGAGGAGATCCTGGCCGAGATGCGCAAGGTGACAGAAGGAGCGGTGGACGTCATCGTCTATCCCAGCGCGGCGGACAAATCCAAAAACCGGGGTTTCGCCTTTGTGGAGTACGACAGCCACCGTGCGGCGGCCATGGCGCGACGCAAGCTGTTGCCAGGTAACGCGCCGCTGCCGCCTCCCGCCCGGTTGCCGCTGGCGTCACATCCCTCGGCCCCCTCAGGGCGCATCCAGCTGTGGGGTCACGCCATCGCGGTGGACTGGGCCGAGCCCGAGGTGGAAGTGGACGAGGACACCATGGCCTCAGTCAAGATTCTCTACGTCAGGAATCTCATGCTGCACACCAGCGAGGAGAACATTCTCAAGGAGTTCAACGCCATCAAAGCAGGTGGTCACCTCGCCGGCGTCGCCTCGTCGGGCAGGCGCTGACAGCCGCTTTTGCTGCAGGTGCGGTGGAGCGAGTGAAGAAGATCCGAGACTACGCCTTCGTCCACTTCACGCACCGCGATGACGCCGTCAACGCCATGAAGGCCCTCAACGGGAAGGTCACGTGCGCACGCAGACAACACACAATGCGCATCCACACGACTCACTCAGGCATACACGTGCGCAGGTGTTGGACGGGTCGGCAATGGAGGTGACGCTGGCCAAGCCGGTGGACAAGGACAGCTATGTGCGCTACACGCGAGGGACGGGAGGTCGAGGAGGGCGAGGAGGGAGAGGAAGTTCGCTGCTGCAGGATGACTACGCCGCCCTCACCCTCGGACAGGTGACAAATGCAAATGGCAACTTTGGACAGGGCAGATTGGGCGGAACAGCGATCGGGCACATCCACCTCACATTTAGAAGCTTTTAGGGGGTTTGGGGGGGGGGGGGGGGTCCCAATCTGGCCTCCTTTTAGGGGCTTGACTTTGGGCTAGTTGACCTTTCGGGTGTTTGACTTAAGGGCTATTGGACTTTTGGGCTTTGACTTTTCATACATTTTGACGTGACTCTGTAGGCACTTGTCTTTCGGGGTACACTTTTGCCTGTTTTCACATTAAGTTACAAGGCCCCCCCCCCCCCCCGCTCCCCACCCTCTCAGGTGTATGACCCCACAGTGGCATATCTTGGTGCCCCGGTGTTTTACGCCCCGCACGCCTACGCTGCTGCCGCCGCCCCAGCCCACTTCCGCTTCCCGCCCGCCAAAGGCCACGTCGCAGGTCGCGCCGTGATCAGGACGCCCTCTGTTCGAGGTCAGAGGCCGCCTTTTTTACGCTTTACATTGTCAATCAAAGAACAACTACTGGACGTGGGACACATGCTCATTGCTACGTGAGGCGACTCGATGCTAGGCTAACTAGCGACGACTCTTCTGTTAACGTGCTAAGCTACCAAACCTGCTGGCGACAACCAAATTTGGGGTCTGTGCTATGTGAATGTGTTGTTTTTACACGAACTAATGTGCCATATTATCAAATTTATTTTTAAAGGGCATGTCCATTTTTGATTGGCCGTTATATCTGCGATGTTCAAATTGCATGTCGAACGCAAAGAGCTGGCGGATCAGAAAAGATTCCGGCTGGGCTGATGTTGCGACGTCCAGTAGAAGTTTACAATCAATGGGAATGCTGGGAAGGCTGTCTGTCTGTCTGTCTGTCCATGTGTATGTGTGTGTGTCTGTGTGTGTGTGTGTGTGTGATTGCGGCTGATTGGAACTGATGCGATTGGTTTCTCCTGTAGAAGTTTACATGAGTATGCCTGTAGGGGCTGCGGGGGTGCGCGGGCTGGGGGGGGGGGGTTACCTTACGTACGCGGCGGGGGGCGTTGGCATCGGCGCGTGCCGTCCAGGCGCCGCCCCCAAGCGGTCCGATGACAAGCTGTACGACCTTCTGCCCGGCATGGAGTTGACGCCCATGACGCCGGCCGCCGTCAGCCTCAAGGCCGCCGCGCTCAAGCCAGCGCCGCAGGTAACGCGAGCCGCACGCCACCCTTGTACAGTTCCTGCATCTCACAAACACAAACACACACACACACACACACACACACACACACACACACACACACACACACACACACACACACACACACACTCACCCCAAGTGTGCACGTGTGCAGGTTCTGGAGGAGTTGTGCGAGAAGAACAGCTGGGGGGCGCCAGTGTACCAACTGCACTCGGCCATCGGACCCGACCAGCGCCAGCTCTTCCTCTACAAAGTCACCATCCCCGCCCTGGCCACGCAGAACCCCAACGTGTAAGCACCATCTCGCCTTTGGCGAAAAGTATTTCTCAGAGATTTCCCGAATGGGATCACATTCTCTCGTCCGCCCGCAGGCTCCCGTTCACCCCGAGCAAGCTGAGCGCCGCCGTGGACGAAGCCAAGGTGCACGCAGCCGAGCACACGCTGCACACCCTGGGGGTACCCACGGAGGGTGCTAGCCCCGCCCCAGAGGCTACCCTTGCGGCAGTGGCCTTCCCAGGTATGTGAAGGTCCGTAGCCCGCGCCATGCGCACGCACCGGTTCGAGCCCGCGACAAGAAGTGAAGGTGCGCTTCGTGTCTTCCAGGTTACGCTTTGGCTGCCCCGGCGCCAGGGGGCGTGGCGTCCCCACTGAAGCAGGACGGGGTGGCAGGGGTGGCCGCGTACGCCGCCTACGAGGCCTACCCCGCCTTCGCCGTGGCCACGCGACACGGCGACACGTACGGCATTTTCTAACCACCGCTTTGATTGTGAAGGCACGGGATCAGGAACTGCTTTGGTTTCTTTCTTCTGCAAACCTTCCGTTTTGGAAGCCGTTTTCATCTGGTCTTTTTGTTTTTTTTTTACGTCTCCTTTCTGTCCATAATCCACATTCCCGGGACGTTTACGACAATTTTTTCTTTTGTGAAGAAGCTGATTGGATCGGGGCTCATCTTCACCCTAACAGTATTAAAGCTTTATTTTGATAGGACAGCACTCAAGCGATTTCATGTCTTCTATCCTGACACAAGCATCTCAAAGAGTCGCGTCCTTCCTCAGCATCTTGACAGCGAGTAGCTCAGGAGTGACAGCTGACTGGCGATCGATCACAGGCAGGTGACCCTAACTATTGACCGGAAATCATGAGCTGATTAGTGACAGGTGACTGGTGAAGGTAGACAGGTTCGTGGTGACAGGTGAGGACAGGTGGCAACCAACTATGATGGCAGCTAACAAGGGACATGCGTTCGGTGACAGCCAATAAGTGACTAGGGTCAAGTGACTTGTAATTATTGTTAGGCACTGGTGGCAGGTGACTGATGAGATTATGGATGGGCGTTGAAATCAAGACTGGGGCGACTTTGAGGATGTTTGACGTTCCCATTTATTGCTCTTGATGGCAAAGATGGTTGAGAGCCAACAGACTAATGTCCCATTTCAAAATGGCTGACGTGGGCGAGGCTCACGAGGCCTTGGCAAGTCCCAGCTGCTCCTCCATTTCCCGGCGCAGTTCGTGCTTCTGGACCTGAAACAGGGAAGCAGCCGCTCGCTCAGGTGCCGACAGCAGCAGCTGAATTTCCTTGAGTCCTACTTTGCTTTTCTAGCTTCCCTTCCTCACACGGGTTTGCTCGTGTCCTTCCGAAGATCGGTCGCGGTTATCACTGAGGCGTCAGTCTTACCTTTCCGGTGACGGTGAGCGGAAATCTGCTGACGAACACGACGTAGCGAGGAATCTTGAAGTGAGAAATCTGGACACAGACAAAGACACGCGACATCACGCCACACGACAACAACTGGACGCCCAATACGCCAGCTACCTAACGCGCTCTGTGCTATGCTAACGCACGCTAGACGGTGGTGCCTGCAGATACAAGTTTTGGTTCGGCCAATATTTTTTTGCTTTCACTTGAGTCATATTATCTTTCTCCTCTGCGTAGAACAACTACTATGAACGCCATATTGACAATCTGAGAGAGGATTTGAGACGTGATTTTGAAGCCCACTTGGTTTGTGGGCACGGAAGGCCCTGCTGCAATATGATTGGATGCCACTCCAGTTGTATTCAAAATATGGAGCGCCAATTCATTTTATGAATGCAGTGTGACGGTACATGGCAGTGAAGCTGACCTTCCCTCTGCAGAAAGTCTTGACGTCGTCCTCGGTCAGCTCCTCCTCGTCCTTCACTGTAATGCACGCGCAAATCTCCTCGCCCATGCGGTCGTCTGTCACGCCCACCACCTGTCGCGCAGCGGGAGCATTTCAATGTTTTGTGTGTAAGAAGATTTCAGGGGAGAGTGTGAAAGCATTTCAGTTGTGTTGGTTGAGAATGTTTAGTTGGTGTGTGAGAGCCTTTCAGTCATCTGAGGTCGACGGCAACGACGCACTCCCGCCTTTGCCGGCATGAGAGTGGTTGCCGAGGCGACGCGTGCGTGACCTGACCTGCACTTCTTTGATTTTGGGGTGCGTGTGGAGGAACTGCTCGATCTCGGCAGGGTAAATGTTTTCGCCTCCTCGGATGATGAGGTCCTTGATGCGACCTTCGATGCGACAGTAGCCGAACTCGTCCAAGCTGCCGATGTCTCTGAGCGCACAAACGCACACGATGAGCACACCGCGCGGCACTCGGCGCGCTCGCACACTCGCACGAGAAGCCGTCATAACTCTCACTGGAACGCTCGCACGGCACTAAAACCTTCTCGCACGTACGACTGAACTTCTCAAGCATTTCACTGTTTTGAGAGAGTGTGAATGTCCACTGGACTCTCACAGTCACAACTGAAACGCTGTCACGCATATGCTACACAAATGAAAGCGCTCCCTGATACACACTCGTGAAACACACACTGACGCCCATTACTGAAATGCTCTCACACCCGCGACAGATCCACACACTATTGAAACGCTCTCACACATACACTGCGAAAACGCTGTCCAAACTCTTGAGCTTTACTGTGTTGAGCTACGGGTGAACTAAATGTGAGGCCGACTCACCCGGTCTTGTACCAGCCATCATCGCCGATGCACTCGCGGGTCTTTTCCGGGTCGTTCCAGTAGCCCAACATGACACAGTAGCCTCGGATGAGGATCTCGCCGGAGGAACCCAACGGAACCTGCTGCCCGTTCGACGGATGCACAATTTTGGCCTGCGGACATGCACGCCACCTCGAGCTTCACTCACAGCTTTCCAGTCACGTTTGCTTAACCCGCCGCTTCCACATTTCGCCTGATTGACAGCTACCAGTCAGTGACGGGTGACAGGTAACTTGTGATAGGTGACGGGTGATGCGTGATCTGTAACAGGTGGCCGTGTTAGCTGAGGGGTGTGAGGTGTCAGGTAACTAGCGACAGTGGACTCGGGCGGGTGAGTCCTCGAGCAGATAGGGTGAAGAACGCAAGGGTGGGGGGCTGGGGGCACCTCCGTGTGGTCCATGATGTATCCAACCGTCTGAGACTTCCTCTCCATGTTGTCCAACGGCGAGCCGCAAAAGGTGACGGGGCTGTTCTCCGTGGTGCCGTATCCGATCTGTCAATCACAGGTCACATGTTAGCGCGTGACTAATTAGCCGCACGGACCCTTTGCAAAGCTTTCGGCGGACACATCAGAGAGGCGGCGGCGTTCCCGACGACGTGGGAGAAGTGTCGAGTGAGCGGCACATTCCTTACGCAAGCGTCCCGTTTCCCGAAGGAATGTTCGGAACACGCGCAGGCCAGTAAAGCTCAAAAGCTTAGCCGGCAGCACACAAACTTCCTCCTCATGCGGATGGAAGACTATTTTTTTTTCCTCTTTCCCTCGCGGCAGCCGCTCAATGGGGGCGAGTGTTCTGCCGAGCGGGTCGGCCCCCCGGGAGACGGGTCGCCGCCCACCCGCCTTTTGACGGCGCCCGAGCGTCAGGCTGCTCAGTGCGCGCGAGGCGAGGACGACATGCGGCGCGTGAGCTGCCTGCTGCTGCTGCTGGCGAGCGTATTGATGGCCAGGGGAGCGCCCGGCCAGTGCCCGACCCCCTGCCACTGCCACGGCGACCTGCAGCACGTCATCTGCGACGCCGTGGGCCTCAAGAAGATCCCGCAGGTGTCGGCGTCCACGCGGCTGCTCAACCTGCAGAGGAACCCGCTGGGCGGCGTTCCGGCCGCCGCCTTCGCCGACAGCGGCGGCCTGGTGTCGCTGCACATGCAGCACTGCCAGCTGCGCCACATCGCCACCAACGCCTTCAAGGGCCTGAGCCAGCTGGTGTACCTGTACCTGTCGCACAACCACATCACCAGCATCCAGCCCGACGCCTTCCGAGACCTGAGCCGGCTCACCTACCTCCACCTGGACCACAACCGCATCAGCGAGCTGGCCAAAGGCATCTTCTCGCCTCTGGTCAACCTGTTTGTGCTGCGGCTGGATGACAACAAGCTGCGCCAGCTCCGTCCCGGCACCTTCGCCGGCGCCAAGGACTTGCGCTGGTTGCACTTGAGCGGCAACCAAATGAGCACGCTCCACGCCGGATCCCTGGAGGACGTGGAGAACCTGGCCGTGCTGCACCTGGACCGTAACAAGCTGGCCGTCTACCCTGCCGCCGCCATGAGCAAGCTGCGTGTGGTGGAGGAGCTAGCGCTGGGCGAGAACCCCATGAAGAGTATCCCCGAACGCGCTTTCAGCAGCTTTGGCCGCTACATGGAGAAGCTGCAGATGGACCGCATGGGCCTGGAGAAGGTCAGTGGGGGGGGGGGGTCCCGAGCCTTGCTCTCCACCCGCCATACGCGAGCTTCTGCTGGATGGAAAAATTGAGCCACAACTGGCGCCACGCTTGCGCGTTTTGCTACAGTGGAGCCTTGTGAAGCTTGAAAATTTGTCGTTGGAAAAAAAAACTCCGCTGTCAACCAAAATAAAATCTTCAACGTGCCTTGCGAACGGCGTGAACATCACGTGACCGAGACCTGCAAAACGGCTTATCAGACTCCCGCTAATTAACTTCGGTGACCTCTGATGACCTGATACTTGGAACACCATTTTGGCAAGCGCAAGTTCAAAGTGTCAACGAGGACGAGTCAAGCCTAAGCGGAGAAAAATGTTACCCGTGCAAAGCCGCAAAACAGGAAGTGGGCGGTTACATAACGATTGTTAGTTTGGCGAGTCGGGTAAACAGAGTGCGTTTGTATGTATAGCCTGCGCACAGACGCCTCTTTGCGCGTCTCCCAAATGGATCGTCTGCGGCAGGAGGGGCGGGGCGGGGGCGTGGTTTCGGGTATGCGGAGAGTGTGGGGGGGGGGGGTGTTTGTCCCCCCCCCAAAGGGGAAATTTCCACAGGAGACCGG